CCAAGCCAAGGAGGAGTCGAGCTAGCATCCTGGGTAGTAGGGAGTCCGACTGTACCTCTATTACTCTGGGGCAACCTGGCCAAAGTTGAGGGGGTACCGCAGCTATAGGGCACAAGGGCTGGCACCCCGAATGCACTGCTGCAAAATTCTCCTGCCAAACAAGCCACACAAAGCAGAATAAACCAGGAAACTGAGCAGAGACTCATGTGTCAGCCTGACCAATGCTCACAACCCGGGGTAGCACAGGATTAAAAATGGAAAATGACTAAAAGAATAGTCCAACTATTTGTTGCAAGTCACAACACAAGAACGCTATAATCTGATCTGTACATCAATACTTACATTGAAGTCACAAGATCAATAAAAGCAAACGTCATCAGGATATATGAAACAAGAAGAACCAAAGACCTCATTGCACAATGGAAAAGCGGAGAGCAAATATTCCTAGGAAGATCATTAGACAATAGAGCAAGGACTGTAGGCATTGGATTCATGGTCAGGAAAGAAACAACTGCGACATCATATCACCCCGGATAGCAGTTCTCACACTTCAGATAAAACGAAGGAGAACAATTAAAATTATTCAGGTGTATGCTCCCACGCAGCAAGTGGAAGACGAAGAAATGGAACATTTCTACAAAGAGCTGGAGGGGGCAATGCAGAAAAGATCCACCTACACAATTATCCAAGGGAACTTCAATGCAATAGTAGGTGGAAAGGAGAATGAGAAAGAAAAGTATGTGGGGAAATTGGGTAAAAGGTGTAAGAAATGATCCCGGAGCACGTCTGGTTGCATTTGCAGAGGCAAACCATCTCCATATAATGAACACGATATTTCAAAAAGAACAGCTTTGGTAGTGGACATGGAAAAGCCTGGATGGAATCACACTGAATCAGATTGATTATGTAATGATGGATACCAGAAGAATCTTCAACAATGTAGTGACAATAGGAGAATGAATCATTTGCACAGGCTCAGAACATCGTACGTTGCGCTCAAAACTATGTGTTGACAATGCTTACGAAGACTGAGTGAAGAGAAGCCAGAAACCGAAGCAAAAATGGCACTTCAATGAAGAGACATTTGCACAGGAAGTAAGTGAAATGGACCTCGAGTATAAAGGTCAACAAGGACATTGATGAGGACTACGAAGAGTTTATCTTGCAGATAATCGCAGCAGCTAAGAAGGCAAAAGCACTGAAAATGCTGGGATGCAAGCAGAGGACCAGTGAGGAAACTGTAAATCTGATGGCGAGAAGGGCGTGCATGAAATTAGAAGGAAAAATGGACAAGAATACAGAACACTGTGCAAAGAAATTCGTGTGAAGATCAAAGAAGACTACAAAGACTTTAGAAAGAAGAAATTGAGATAGGCGGACAAAAAGAACGAAAGTCTGAAGAAGGTAGAAAGGGATGTTAGGCTGAAACAGATAATGCTGGCAGTGCTGAAAGATGAAAATGGTGAAAGGACATCGGAAAGGAGCAAGATGAATGAAATATGTACAAAATTCTACAATGATCTCTACTCCTCGCAGGTCAATGTCCAGCGTACACCGTCAAGGCAGCAGGTTACAGAAGAAGTTCCCGACATTAGGTGGGAAGAAACTGAATACACAGTTCGTAACATAAGGAGAGGGAAGAGTCCGGGAGTGGACAATATTTGGCCAGAATATCTGAAAGCAGGGGAAGATACTCTCTTCAAAGCATTGTCACAATGGTTCACCATCCACATCAATAGCAGGCGTGTTCCAGATGTATGGAAGAAATCGAAAACAATGCTATTGATGAAGAAAGGCGATCCAGAAGAACTGATCAACTACCATCCGATCATACTCCTCTCACAAGTGTATAAAGTCTTCACCCGCATCATACTCAATTGGATTAAGAAAGATCTTGAAATGCACGAAAGCAGAGAACAAGCTGGTTTCCGCTCAGGATATTCGACAATTGATCACATCCACTCAGTTCGGCAGCTCATCGAAAAATGCAAGGAATACAACATACCATTGTGTATTGCATATGTCGGCTACAAAAAGACATTCGACTCGGTGGAGATTAACGCTGTACTCAATGCGCTCAATGAAACTGGAATCGATCCGAGGTACACTGACCTGGTAAAAGAAATTAATCGCAATTGCTCGACAGAGATAACATTATTCAATGTACCCTGCATCATTACTATTCACAGAGGAGTCGAACAAAGTGACACAATCTCACCGAAGCTGTTTGCAGCAGTACCGGAGTCGCTGTTCAAGAAATTGACCTGGGAAGAAGGAAACAGAAGTGATGGAGAACAGTTAACACATCTTCTCTTCGCTGACGACTGCATAATACTGGAAAGGACACAGCAGAACTGGAGAACAACTTGCAGTAACTGCAAACACTTTCACATGATATCAGGTTGGAAGTGAACATGTCAAAGATGAAGTGGATGCGGAATGAGCATTGTGCAGAAGGAATCATCACTGTAAATGGGAAAGAAATCGAGGAGATTGACAAATATATTTACCTGGGTCAGCAAATGAGCAGAGACAACTCATTCGAAGGGGAATGCAGTAGGAGGCGAAAGGCAGGGTGGGCAAGCTTCAACAAAATAAAGACGTCTCTAATGGATGATGAACTGCCCATGAAGAAAAGCAAGAACTGTTCAACTCCACTGTTCTGCCAACAATTATATATGGAACAGAAAGCTGGTCAATGACAAAAGTGGAGAAAGAAAAACTAGAGGTCCCCCAGAGAGCCATGGAAAGGTGAATGGGTAAGATATTGCTCCGTGATCATATATCGAATGAGGCGATTAGAAGGTGTACAGAAGTGACTGATGTAGTGCAGGCAATGTGTGATGCAAAGTGAAGATGGGTGGGTCATGTAGTCTGCAGGCACGACAATAGGTAAACAGCTCACATCAGTGACTGGATCCTCGGAGACCACAAGCAACTGCTGGGCAGAACAAAAATACGCTGGACAAAATTCTTTGGCCAGAAATGGAAAGAATGTGCTCGCAACAAAATAGAATGGTGTGGCGTCAACTTGCGTTCATGGAGGGATGGACAAGGACAAGCTAGACAAAGGTGATGATCAACCTGATTCAGTGGAGCTAAAATGCTTATTTGCACTTTAACTTTGTTTCCTGTTTATTTGCATAAAAAATATATATATATATATTTTAAACTTAAGTGTATATCTATTAGTTTGCAACAAGCATAAATGCCATATTGCAAAATTACTTTTCAGGAACCAATAATCAGTCCATGTTTAAGTTCAGTAGCTCACAAAAGCATCACACAACACTACTACGGCTGACTTAAAACATTTTTTTAAGGCCTCCCTCAACTGCATAGCCCCACAGATGGCTCTTCTAACAGTACTTGTATCTGTCTGTTCAAATTCAGCAGCCAGCTGGTCCACCTCACCAACTCCCCCCAGCCAATTGCCTTTCTCAATCATCTCACCAATATTATGTGATATACAACATGCAGCAACAATAGAAATGTTTGCCTCACTGAGATCCATCCTAGTCAGTAAACTATGCCAGCAATCTTTTAAATTACCAAAAGCACATTCAAAATCATCCTGCAGCTGTTGGAAAAGTCCTGCATGGTTAAGATATGCGCGCCATATACTTTCCCTGTCCAGCCCACACCGATATCATTGAAGCGTTCCAGATAATCCACTCCACCAGGGCTGGCATAATCATGGAAAAGTACCTCTTTTAGTTTATGTATTCATTGGCAAGGTAGGGTACTGCCAGAAAAGGGATATCAGAAAAAGGTGACATCTATGGCAGCACCTTAGTTCAGGAACTCCATTGCTTCAAATCCACCTACTACTTCCTGCACGTTGACAAGAGTCCCAGTCCTGTGCAGTGAGATATACTTATTGGCCTTGCACTCTTGGATGACAATGGACCCCACTGGATTTACTAACTCTGAACTGACCGGCCACTGATCGATAGAAATCTGATGTTGCAAACTTCCAGAGTGAAACTGCCACTTGCTTTTCCACTGTCAGTGCAACTCTCATTCTGGTATGTCTGCACTGGATGGCTGGGGCAAGCTCAGCACACAGATCCAGGAACATAGCCTACTGAATTTGAAAGTTCTGCAGTTACTGCTCATTATCCCAAATCTGCATTATGATATGATCCCCAACACTCGTTTCTCAGGCCCAGAAGCACCATCTACCAGGTGGAGTTGCTCCATGAATGCCAGAAACAACCTGACATTTTTATTCTGTGTCCATCATTACCCATTCATCATCCTTGAACATTTCCTCTTCCTCACAATACCACCAGTTATGGTAATATTCATTGAAGTTCCACAAATACAAAAGAATTGTGGATCCTCTAATTAGCAATGGTTATTAGAATTGTGCTGAGCTGTGCAGGGTCCAGGCTTCTACCAGAGAGATGGTAGAGATGGAAAAGGACAGGCAGGATTTTGGGAATTTAAAAAATGATGCAAAAATTATGGGATGGAAAAAGTTGCACTGGGGGATCTTGACCCCCTAGTTCCCAGAAATCCCTGGGCAAATTGCTTGTATCCAAATACGCAGTGAAAATGTCCCACAAGGCACTGACCTGGATGGTGGCACAGGACAATGGGATAACCTGTCCTGGGTAAACTGCATTTACTACTGATGCAACCACTTGTGGATGCGAGTGCTGACACAAACAGCCAGGTATGCACACCCGAGCGATATAAAAAGTTGGTGGAGGTAAGAGGATGTAACTTATGTTGACCAAATTTTGTAATGTAAATACAGTCTGTGATGCATTATCACGAGTTCAGTGAATAAACATGCGCTTCCAATCAAAGACTTTGGGTTCTCCTGGAGGTTGATTATACTGCCATAGTCTCTTATCTGAAGTCAACAAGTCCAAGGAGCAGTAATCCAATCAGTCGTCCAGAAAGACTATCATGTATTTTCAAATGATTCAGTTTGTTGAGCATATTAGAGAGTAAGACAGCAACCCCTCCCATCCAGAAATAGCACTTACCAGCTTCTGTCTTCCACCTTCACAAATGGATTTTTCAGCCGACCTGCTCAACAGAAAAAAAAAAGAAAAAAAGAAAAAAAGAAATAAATCACAATATTTCCCCCCACCCAACAATAAACTTATTGTTTATTATAACAATAAACTATTTGTATAGATAGACATCCAGCTGATTTTCTTTTTAAATATCTGCCTATAAACTTATCATTACCGTGAGATATTTTTGTACACTTTTCTCAGGCCAACTAGATTAAGAGTATGCCAAGGATGCTCTCTCAGACAAACAATGTATTTTTCAGCATTCAGAAAACATGATAACGTAGAAACCTCAACAAGTGTCAAAATACTTACTTTTTGATTTCTGACCACCACATCGTTTCCCCTAGTTAAAAGAAAAAAAAGTTTGAATATTGTTTCTATTTAACCTCAACATTTAGTGGAATATTTCTAAAACTGTGTGTGCATGTTTGTGTGAAATCATGATTAACTGATATGCAAATTAGGCACATGAATATTCTGAAAATCTGTCATGTCTATTTCTCAAAGAAATATTGCAAAATTCTGCTATTCAAGAGTAATTTTTTAACAAATGAATAAAATTTTCCTCATAACCATCATGGTAAAAACTCATGTGAAAACTGGCTGATGGATATTCACTGTATTTTTGCAATACTGTTTTATTATAAATGGAGATAACAGGTAAAAATGCTGTTAAAAATTGTAGGAGGCAACTTTATTGGTTTCAGAGCATTTATGGCTCCTTGCATAAAAATATCACTAATTTACGTGATTAAAAGTGACAATAGTTATTCCATGTTATTTTAGCAAATCAGGACTGTACTACAGGAAATATTTACAAATTTCAAAATATTAAGTCCTTGGATTTATTGGTTAAAAACCAAATACTCAGATTCCATAACCTCCTCAAGTTGTAGCTCTACTTAAGACTACCTGGAATGTGGCAAGATACTGAGTCAACATTACCGATTTTGTATTACTGAAAAGTATCAGGCCATTACAAGACCTGGAAAGGAAAATTGATACACTCACGAGATTCAGCAAAGGCTTCCAAGTGGCTCCAAAAAGTTAATTTGTACTGAATTCCAGGGCAGCACGTACAGTATTATCTGCTATTTACATACTACAGATCAGGTGGACTGGGCATTCATAAAAATTCACTGCCTTAATTAAAAATATAAAGCTACCAGCCAAACAACAGTAGCCTAAATAGAGTTACGCCGATCATAAACCAGGAACTGGGGGGACCAATAAAAAGTTATATGCTGGCTCTACACCACACTTGGAGTAGCCTGAAGACACTGTACTCTGGTGAGAAGACTGGGAACCAGGAGACTTTTGCTGTGCAATCTGGGAAGAGTCACACTCTGTAGGCCAAATTTTTCTATGTAGTGTCATCACTTTGATCTTTACTGCTTATCTAGCCCTGGAAAGATCACCCCAGTGCAACTGGGATCCTTCAGTGGCATAAAAGTAGAGGGTCTTACACATCCATACCAGGGAAAAGATGGTCATGGTTGGGATACCCTTAAGGCATGACAATATCCCAATTTTCTGGCTTGTGGGACCCTTAGTAAACAGAGTAAATTAGAGTAGTCCCCAGTCTACTCTAGCTTGGTGCAGGGGGAATAGCCCTCTCAGAAACTTTACAGCTACTGGCTCCTAGACATACTTTTTTCAGAGCGGTGAACTAGAGAGACTAAGGATATTATTAAAGAGATTAAGGATATTACAAATTTATCTTAAAAAAATGATGCTAGTCAAACATAGCAAGCATTTCCCTTCTGATTTTTAAACTGATTTGGTTTAAAAAATTACTGAGGGCCCAAAAGACATACCAGTTATCAGAAAATTAATACATAAATAAACCAAAATACATAAAAATAAACCAGCATCTTGAAAGGAACTGTTTAACTCACCTACAATATTTGTCATTGCTAATAATTATTTCATTAAGTTAGAAAGGACTCACTCACCACATCTTTGATTGAAATGCTTGCTTTCTTGATCAGGTAGAGCTCCTTTTTCTTTTGCTCAAGATAATTTTTAATATCTTTCAAAAAAGGAGAGAATTTATATTTAGCCAAACTTCTTTTTTAAATTCTTGAAGTGATTTGTTGTTTTTAATAATACTTTTGAAAAATAGCAAATCTTGTCAGTGATTTAATTAAAATAAATTTCACGTTTTGATTAAAAGTTTATAAAACTAATATATTTACCATCAACATGAAGTATTTTCACTCCCCAACTCAAGGCATTGGATAGTATACTACCTGAAGGGATTAATTCCTGCAAAAAGTAAACATTATTAATATTTAATAAAAGCAATACCTTTAAAGATTTGATGTAAAGCAAGACATAAGAAAAGTTGAGGCCAAGACATGGTCTTCTCCTGCAGTTTCCTGCCAAAAGATAAGGATGACTTTCACTTGCCTCAACTGCCTTCACAATCTTCATGTCACAGCATCTTTCCATCCAGAAGACATTTGGCTTCCATAAAGCCCATGTTGCTCACATTGTTATATGATTTATCAACTGGGAATCCTGAAACTGCTGAATTTATTCATATATATAATTTCTGTGGGTACGAACTACAGGAAATGCAAAGACCTTGATCAAATATCAATTATTAGTCATAAACCTTTACAAACAGATCCTTTCTCTCCTTTCCGAGGTCTCCAGGAAATAAATGGAAAAACAGGTGAGTCTTGCAACAAGTCCTGAAGGTACAGTGTGCTGGTGAGAAACAGCATAGTACCTCTGGCTGTACTTCCCATCAGTGTATTTTCCCTTAGATCGCTCTACTTCTGCTGATGTTCACTACCATTCAGAATAGCGAGAGAGAAATAATCTTTACTAAATCCAAATTTATCGACTGCTCAGCTTACCTGTTCTTTGATAGCTTTTTCAACTAAAGATTTTCCTCTGCTCAAACGTACCTAAAATTAAAGAAACTTTGCTTATTGTATGCAACACATTAGTGCTCATTTCAGACAGTGAAACATAAGGGGAGTTATCTTTTTATGTTAAAAATTAGCTTTTTGTACAAATTGAGGTTAAAGGTTGTGTGTTAAATATCTCTATTAAACCAACAAAATACCGTATATTATAACCATCATGTGTTAATGCATTATTTAATATGCTACCATTTTCTATCAATTTTCATTCATTCAATCAGATGCTGAAAATCAGCACTCCTTTTACAGAGTGCTGTTGGGATCTATATAGCTATAAGGTCAGTATTTTCACTGTTAATAGTTTGCAATATTGAAAGACCACTTCCATGAGAGTTACTAGCAATATGTTTTAAGGAACAAAATTTTGGCACAGTACCATCTCAACAGCCTGGGTGAAATTCTAGAGAAGGTATTGCCATATTAGCCCTCTACTGCCAAGGACTGATATCACTTATGAACACCCATATATTTCAGATTCCAAACATTCTAAGTCACCTCCAAGCAGGAGGGACACATAGCAAAGAATTAACCTCATCCTATAGGTCAAATAGGATTCTGAAAATCCTGAATTTATGAATGTTTTTATGGCCACATTTGCTCAGTGTTAGGACTGTGAAATGTCTTTGATTTCTGGATTTTTTTCAGTGATTATTTTGGGACGATCAATTACAGAAAATAAATCAGCAAGTACTGAAAACACAAAAATGTGGTTAATCAGTGTTAACAGTTTTCATGTCCTCTGTTAGACCCAGCAAAGTTTAACAATGTAGTCTTTACCTAAGCTTCCAGTTTTATTTACTGCAAAGACAGATTTCACAATGCGTATCAATGTGCAACTGCATGATAAGGGATATACTTCAATACATATTCAAGGAAATTATGATATTCAGCTATGGGCATAAGACATTTCAAATACTTATTAGAAGCTAAACACCAGAGAGAAAGTGCTCCCCCCAGGCACCTCTAGGATGACCAGCTCTGCTGCTGCTTTTTTCCAGAGCTTTTCATGTCTGAATCCTCCTTAGCTGTCAAGTCCCACTTCTATCCTGACCTCTCCCACTGCAAGACCTCCGACTTCCCTACTGTATGACCACATTTATTAGTAACGAACAGAGACTTAGCTGGGTAACCTGTTACACACACAAGATTAAGTGAGAATGACCATATTAGAAAGTACTGCAACCTGGCTTGTGTATCCTAGCAAGTGCAGGGTGAACTTTTCTGGACTAATAGTTTATTTGTTGAAAAATGCAGTTTCGGTTGATCCCAAACTATTTGTGAATTTGACAGAAATTTCCCAAACAGTTTCAGCCAAAAACAGATCAAAGCATTAGAGCAGGGATCTCCCACCACACAGGCAAGTGCCCAAATCACCAGGATATAGAGTAGTTCTCTCTGGCCTAATGACTATTCAAGTATTTTTTACAAAGTGGAACAACACCAACAGAAGACAATGAGAAAGAACCCCTGCAGACTACACGATAGCCCAGGGATTGGGTCTCTCATGTTGCAGAGAGTGCACTAAGTTCAAATTCCTTCTCCGCCTCACTTGTGGGGAACTGAACCCAGGTCTCCTGCATTCCAGATAAGTGCACTAACCACTGGACTAAACATTAACAATATGAAGGGGCCCACCTTGTAATCTAGACCTTCATTTCATTTACTTGTATGTGAAAATGTGCCCCAAAACAAAATGGTTAGTTTTGGGTCAAACAAAACATTTTGTTCAATTTGAAATGAAATGTCAACTTTTTTCAATTCAGTGATATTTTCTGGAATTTTAGGATTGGTTCAAGCTAAATTCTTTTTCAGATTTTTCACAGCTACCAGAAAACTCAGTTTTTCACCCACTGCCAGTCATAATCCTATTCCTAAACAGGGATCAGACATGGTATGCTCACATAGTTTTTAACTGTGTCACAGGTGGACATGAGACTTGCTCAGTCAACCATGTTACAAACTTGGTGGAAATCAGTGCAGTGCTCAGGGAAAGGGCCTGAGGACTATTAAAGTCATTCTGTAGCAAAAAAACATTTGACCACTGAAAACAGACAGATTTACAATATTTGATTTGTGTGCTTATTTCCTAGATGATAATACAGCTACAAAAATCTTCTGTCTACTAGTGTTGATAAGATAGTGAAAGTGAGTTGACTGTATCACACAAAATCTTTCCACTAGCAAAATCATGTAGAATGATGTTAAAAAGGCTCTACATATGTAGCTGCAATTCCTGGGTTTCTAAAGAATGTTGGCATATGTCACTGCAGGTCTTGTTCACATTAGGGATCAAACTGTGTTCTGAACCATTTTAAATTACACCGTTTCAAAGTTGTTAATGATATTGCTGTTTAAGCAGATTGCCACCCTATGCTAGAAAACAGTTTTCAAAACTTTGGTTTAAACTTGGTTGGCTTCAGTAAGGAAAGAGCCAATATTTGAACTGTATTTTGGGGAAAAACACTCTAGCTTAGGCAGGTTAAGCCATATTTAACTATCAGAGTTAGTTTTAAACTGGTTCAAACTATGTTTGTTATGTTGAACCAAGTCAATCTCAGCTCCACAGTTTACACAGCCTTTAGAAAACAAAATAAGGGAAGATCGTATGAGCAGCTGGGGTAGGATGCACGATTTGCAACATTTTTCTCAAGAAACTTACTGTATCCACCATCTTAAATGAATTTCCATCATGTCGATCTCTTCTGCTACTGGGATGAGGTGAACTATTTCCGCCCGTATGTGCAGAGCCTGGGCTTGGGACCGGAGAAATTTGTCCAAGAACCTGAGCAAATTTTGCTTCCTTTTTATTAGAAATCAGATAGCTGATATCTTTGCTAAGAAATCCCTCCACTCTCTAAATTTAAAAGAAAAAAAGTGAGTAATTATCTCAATCATATGCTCTTTAATTTATTTAACCAACCAAGAAGCAATAAAATATCCTTACATTTCTTAACTGCAGTTTAGAAAATGCTGCATTAACAATAGCGAAATTAGCGGGTAGTACTGCTTATAATTAAGGGTGATGACCCTTCCCATTATCAACTGTTTTCAGTTGCTTATAACTTTGACAAACTTTATTCATGCAGGCTGAAAATTTCCAAAATTGCTTGCCTCAGGCTGAATTTTCTCAAAACAATTGAACAATTTCAAAGAATGAGGATAAAGAAAAATAAGTTTTGCCCATGCAACTCCTTCTTTGAGTAGTTCTAGTGCCCTCTTGCTTTGGAGCAGGGACTTGAAAGTTAGCCAGGGTGACCGTTGTGTCTGGTATGTGTATTTTGCCATCCCCATGAAAATCTGACCAAATTAGCTAAATTCTAAGACTCTGAACAATCACAGTTCACACATGCTCAGTAGAAACTTACCAAACTTTTTGGGACTAAATTCCCTGAAGATTTTGTCCACAATAAACATGCTACAGTCCAGTGGTGCAGGGGGCTGAAGTAGGACTATCCCTGCAATTGCAGCTCTGGGCTACTACGGCCCAGGGGATGGTCCCCAAAACGTAAATGAGGGACCCTGCCTTTCCTGCACCCTAAATGCCCTTCCTGCTAACAGCCAGGCAACATGGAGGAAAAAAGCTGCCTGATTTGAATGCAAGAGTCAGATTGGGGTGCGTCTAATTGGAGATTGGGACAAATAACCTGAAGGGTTTTGGGGAGATTAGGATTGGAGGCTGGCAGGAGGAGAGGACTGGGAAACTGGGCCTGGGAGTTGGGTTGGAGGAGATGGAGACCAGCTGGGCAAGGAGACTGGGAGCCAGGCTGGGAAGGAGAATGAGATTGTCAAGGAGCCTGGGTGGTGTGACTGTCTGGGCAAGAGGACTGGGAACCAGTGGGGATGGGGAAGGATATAGAAGGAGAGCAATAAACAAAAATTCACGGAAGCCCTTGACCTGTCCCTGACTTTTACTAAAAATAACTGTGACAAAGTGGGTAGGGAGGAGGGTCAGGTACATGATTCCAGCACCACACAGCTGAAGAAATTCAGGGTGTAACAGAATTAACAAGTCTCTACCTATCTTAACGTTTTTCTAAATCATCAGTTGCTGTGGTATCTAAGCACTGTACATGGTATTTTGGAATTGCAAGAAGTTTCTGAAGATGATGCCAAAACCCTCATCAGTGGCTGTTTCAATGGAAAATATTTAGGACTAAGTGTTGAGTGGCGGTTTCAAAGGAAAATATTTAAGGCTGGGTCTGTATTATCACCAAAGGCTCTTAGTAAATTAAGCTGTCATGATAAAAGGGAAGGTCCTTTCATGGATTGAGAACTGGTTAAAAGACCGGGAACAAAGGGTAGGAATAAATGGTAAATTCTCAGAATGGAGAGGAGTAACTAGTGGTGTTCCCCAAGGGTCAGTCCTAGGACCAATCCTATTCAACTTATTCATAAATGATCTGGAGAAAGTGAGGTGGCAAAGTTTGCAGATGATAGTAAACTGCTCAAGATAGTTAAGACCAAAGCAGACTGTGAAGAACTTCAAAAAGATCTCACAAAACTAAGTGATTGGGCAACAAAATGGCAAATGAAATCTAAACGTGGATAAATATAAAGTAATGCACATTGGAAAAAATAACCCCAACTAATTAGCTAATTTAACTACAATGAATCAGGAAAAAGATCTTGGAGTTATCGTGGATAGTTCTCTGAAGACGTCCATGCAGTGTGCAGCGGCAGTCAAAAAAGCAAACAGGATGTTAGGAATCATTAAAAAGGAGATAGAGAATAAGACGGAGAGTATCTTATTGCCCTTATATAAATCTATGGTACGCCCACATCTTGAATACTGCATACAGATGTGGTCTCCTCAAAAGAGATATACTGGCATTAGAAAAGGTTCAGAGAAGGGCAACTAAAATGATTAGGGGTTTGGAACGGGTCCCATATGAGGAGATATTAAAGAGGCTAGGACTTTTCAGCTTGGAAAAGAGGAGACTGGGGAAGATATGATAGAGGTATATAAAATCATGAATGATGTGGAGAAAGTAAATAAGGAAAAGTTATTTACTTGTTCCCATAATCTAAGAACTAGGGGCCACCAAATGAAATTAATGGGCAGCAGGTTCAAAACAAATAAAAGGAAGTTCTTCACACAGTGCACAGTCAACTTGTGGAACTCCTTGCCTGGAAGTGGTTGTGAAGGCTGGGACTATAACAGCGTTTAAAAGAGAACTGGATAAATTCATGGAAGTTAAGTCCGTTAATGGCTAGTAGCGAGGATGAGTAAGGAATGGTGTCCCTAGCCTCTGTTTGTCAGAGGGTGGAGATGGATGGCAGGAAAGAGATCACTTGATCATTACCTGTTAGGTTCACTCCCTCTGGGGTACCTGGCATTGGCCACTGCCAGTAGACAGGATACTGGGCTAGATGGACCTTTGGTTTGACCCAGTACGGCCGTTCTTATGAGGGTCCAGTACCCAGAGCTGCTGGGGCTCCGGGGTCCCCTTCATCACCGTAGAGTTGAGAGCACAAAGCATCTCACAAAATTGGGACCATGCTGCTTCCCCAAGAATAGCAGTACAGAAATAATACCCATTTCATTTCTCTTGCTTGTGCACTTATCCTTTCCAAAAAATCATTTTAAAAGTTCTGGGTTGGAGAGAAGAACAAGAAAGAAGAGAAAAAGATTATACTGTTAAATTCAAAGGGACACCTTCAAGTTGAAATCACATTGCTGTGAAATTTCATCCCTAATAATTTCATACAACAACAAAACTTGCAATAACCAATATAACACAATTCAAGTTGACAGTTCCCCAGTAGGCTCCTATTAGTTCACACAACTGTAGCCATTATAGCTTTCTGAAAAGCAGACGTGGTAAGCAGCTCCTATCAACTGCTGCAATTATAGGGAATGGAAACATTTTTACTGCCAACGCTCTTTTATACAAATTCAACTAATCCAACTTTTACGTGGAGTTCCACAGCTTTCTGTGTCAAAGCTATGTCCTGTGTTGAGCTTGGAGCAAATTGTTTCTTCAGATCAAAAATGTAAGAGGATTAAAAAAGATTTAGTAGGATTTCACAGAATTTATAATAATTAATTGAGAGTTCAATGGAGTATTTGCAAATATTTAATTAATGTATTCTTTGAAAATGACATTTATTTAAATTTAGGTTTCGATCATATTCTAAAAGGTTGAAATCTGGATCCCACGACAATGCAGCTGTTAGATCAAATAACTGCTATGTTAATTTCCAAAAAGTGCTAAACAACGTTGACTTTCCAAATGTTGTTGTAAAGCATGCACAATGCATCTGACTAGATACAAATGTATCCAGTGCTATAGGTGTGGATGATGCTTCTCAGTCAGAAAGAAGCCAGCCCCTGACCTGAATGGTGGCCAATTCTGCTCTAAATTACACTGTTGTAAATCAGAAGCAATTCCACTGATGTCATTAAGTCAGTCCAAATTCTTACAAGTATAATAATAGAGAGCAGAATTTAGCCCCACTGTTTAGATATGACACTAAAAATAGAATAGCAACAATAAGAGGATTAGTGCCGGGGGGGGGGGGGAGGGAGACGGGACGACAGTATTAGAGTAAAAGTTAATGTGATTATTTGAATTATGTCGTAATGATTCCACGTTGCTGGTGGGTTTTTTAGATTGGAAATTATGGCTGAAATCCTGCAAATATGCTTAACTTCACATATGAGTAGTTCCACTGAAGTTAATGACTATTTATGTGCATAAAGTTAAGCTGACCACAAACCTTTGCAGGACTGGGGCCTAAACTAAAAATCCTGTGTGTTTTGGTGCAGGCTTACAGGGGCAGAGGGGTTGAAGAGAGGGAGACAAGGAAGAAGTATGGCTCATAGGAGTAAAAACAGGACACGAAGAGCTAGGGAACAGACAGGAAGAGAGAGAATGGAGACAGCAAAAATGTCATAGTGCACTTTCTAACTTGATACAAAAGATACTCATCCCTCCCCATGCAGCTGCAGAAACCTGCAGAATTTATAGGTAGAATGATCTTGCTTTGCTCCTGTAGCAATTTGGAACCAACTACAATTGCACAAAGCCAGTTGAAGAAATGGGAATTCTGGGTGGACCACTGAACTAAACTGAAGGGAAAAGAGATAAAGAGAGAGAAGGATAGTTGAAGAGAAGATAGATACTGAAAACCACAGAGAAGAGCTGGAAGAAATTCAGCTGGACGCAGCAGGGTTTTTTTTTTTTTTTTACATAGGGGTTGCATGAATCCCACATTTTCTCTTTTCTGGAGATTTGGGAACATAACCTACAAAATCAGAAGAATCTTGCAAAAGTTATCATGACTGCATCTCTGCTATTACACAGTTGTGCTTTCCTAGCAGAAAGAGCAGTGTAAGTCAGGGGTGGGCAAACTATGGCCCGTGGGCCGCATTTGGCCCGTCAGCTGGATCCAGCCCACCAGCTGTTTTAAGCCGGCCCTTGAGCTCCCGCTGGGGAGTGGGATTTGGGGCTTGTCCTGCTCCGGTACTCCAGCTGGGGAGCAGGGTTGGGGGCTGCTCCATGCTGCTCCCGGAAACCGCAGCATGGCCCTGCTCCAGCTCCTACACGTAGGGGCAGCCACAGGGCTACGCTCTGCACACGGCCCCCTGGCCCTCCCTGGGAACAGGGAGCCAGCCAATGGGAGCTGCAGGGTTGGCACCTGCAGATGGGGCAGCGCACAGAGCCACCTGGCTGCAGCTCTGTGTAGGAGCCAGAGTGGGGGGGACATGACCGCTGTTTCCGGGAGCCGCTTGAGGTAAACGCTGGCCTGAGCCTGCACCCCTGACCCTCCCACACCCTGAACTCCTCATTTCTGGCCCCACCCTGGAGCCTGCACTCCCAACCAGAGCTCTCACCCCCTCCCGCACCCCAACCCTAATTCTGTGAGCATTCATGGCCCGCCATACAATTTCTATTCCCAGATGTGGCCCTCGGGCCAAAAAGTTTGCCCACTCCTGGTGTAAGTGATAACACAAACTTACTCAGTTTCACAGATGCTTAAGTACAATTGTGCTGATTTTTACTTTCTAATCAGATCCCCCAGAAGAACTGACAAATAAGGAAAGGATGGCAAGAGAACTAGAGAATAGCAGAGTAAAAATATTCTGACATGCCTCAATTTGAAAGAATCGAAAAGGAACAACTCTTCAGACTAAACTTAAACCCTAACTATGAAAACAGTTTGAGCACTTATAATAAAAATACAATCATTAAAAATTACCATTGACATTGCATAGCAAAGTAAATCTCCACAATATTATAAAATTAAAGTATTTCTAAGAGCTAAAAACATGCAAAATTAGTTCTGAACAGTCTGCTTCCTTATATTTGATTTTGAACTTTTGCTCTCAGCAACAGAAGGCCTATAAAATTTGTGGGAAACCTGACCTAGTCACAGATGAATGCCACTATAGAAAATGTTATTTACATATGAATTGCAAGCTGTTTTAGAAATAATTGAACTGTTATAAGGTAATAATACACTGTTGTACCTATGTATGGGAGGCTTAATCCACAATTAATAATAAAAAAATTACAATTTTTTTTCATTTAATTGTTCTACCCTGAGACAAGCCAATAAATCACTGCTTTAAATTATGATTGGTATCACCTGAATTTTTTTTAAAAATAATTGATTTAAATCAGGTTGAGACTTCATAAAACAAAGTTGAAAATCTGTGCCACCGCAACTTTAGATTAAAATTTATATATTAACTAAATTATAGATGCGGTTTACAAAAAAGAAATACTATCATTGGTAGGATATCTTATTTGAATTTTACAAAAGTGCTATAGGCAAAAAAACAAAATATTGAAAAATAAGGCTCTGACCCTGCAAACACTTAAACGGGTACGTAAATTTACTCTCATAAATAGTCCCATTGATTTCCACTATGCATGTGCCTAAGTGTATGCAGCATCAGCAGCTAAAATTGTATTTTTATTAGAAACTTTCTCAGCTTAAAATCTCTCACTTCAAAATAAAATTACTTCAGTTTTAAAAATGAAAAACTACTCAGACTTTCAATACATTAACAAAGTTATTGTGAACTTTTTTATACACACAGGATATCATTTTCAAAAACAGGAGCTTAGGAAGCCCACTCTTTAGATATCTATGGCTGGGATTTTCAAAAGCATCTCCATGATTTAGCAGCACAAGTCTCAATGGCTTAAAATATGGAGGAATGTAACCTGGTCAAAGCATTTCAGCTGTCTTGTGGATTTTCAATATATTGGAGGGTGATGGTGTTCGCAAATATAGCAGGGATATTTGTTTATCCATTTTGTGTCTGAGTTTTTATTGTTCTTCTAGCAAGGATGCTAATGAGGTCCTGGACATGTTTTTGCAGCACAGATTAACATTTTAAGTGTGAAACTTCTTAGTAGCATTCTTTAATGTAAAATCAGAAGTTCTACTAACAATTAGAAAATCAATTAAAGAAACAAGTACTAAATATCCACTTAGCCATCTAAAACTATAAAACAGGAAGTAAAGAATTGGCAACTTGTAAAAAGATATATAATTTCAATTTTTAAAAATTGTATTTTTAATTGGATAAAAATGTTTTTATCCAAAATTCAATTCTTTTGTCTATTTATTAAGGTAACTTGGAGATGTTAGACTGCATTTTAAACAATATTTTGTGGCATTCAGAATGAATTCCTAGACCCTAAGACGCTATGTTCTGAGACAGTCAAAATTTAAGACACTTTCAGGCTTGGTAAATTCACATTTACCTTTCCCCAACTCCTCTAGTTGGCGGTTGGTGAGGTTGGTTTTTTTATTTTTGGAAAGTACATGAAATTATTCATGAGATTCAATGATCATTTAATTCATTCCCAGTATTGTCTAATTACATTATCACATACCACTTTTCCAGGGGAACCCGCCTTAATACTGAATGAGTAGTTATTCAATATTTCTATTTTATCCTTTTAATTAAATGTGTTGCCACATTAAATATTTAACGTACATCATCCAAAACTTGCACCAAATACAAAATTATTCATTTCCTCTTCAACTTTCTGTGGTGCTCTCACCATAGGATTGCAGTATTTCACGGATATTAATAAATTTATCTTCACAACATGCTTGTGTGATTAGGTGCTATTACTACCCCCCTTTACAGATGGGGAACTAAGGTACAGACAGATTAAGATCCAAAATATCAGAATTGTGCATTAACTTTAACTGCCAATTTGAGACACCTCGGGCCTGATTTTTCAGAGTACTTAACATTTTTATAACACTATGTTGAAAAGATAGTTCCAATTGACTTCAGTTGTGAGCATTCAGCATTTCTGCAAATCTGGCCCCAGGTATTTCACTGTGTGAACTCAGAAAATTAGCAGCCAATTGTGAAAATTCTGGTGAAAATGACTTGCCTCAAATCACAAAGGAACTCTCTGACAGAGGCAGGGATAGAATCCATGTCTCCAGAATTCAGTTTCAGCATAAAACCATTCTGTTACTTTTCGCAATCCCTGTCTCCTTCTATGCGCATTTCAACTCTCTTACAAATGAGGCTGGCATCCTACAGAAAATATCATTTATTATACAACCTTGATTCCTTCCCAGATCACTGTCCAACCTGAGCACTGTATGAAATGGGATCCTGTGAATTAAAAAAAAAAAAAAAAAAAAGTGCATGGTTGCAGGGATGGATTAACCCATCACTGGGACCTAGGCAAACACACTTCCGGGTCCCTACCTTCTAATATAAACAACACATGGCCATACAGTACACTCATTGCGACTGGGCTGGCCATGTTGTGGATCTGCCAGGAACAGCCGCTCGGGGTGCTGCTCACCATAACAAAGAAGCAGCTGGGACAAACTCGAGTGGTGCTGTAATCCCATGCACCACGTTGCAATGCCATTCACTCGAGTGAAGTTTTTTCAGTGTGCATGCAAATCAGCATCACTGTTTAAAAAACAAAAAACCAATCACAACCCACTTTGGCCCATACCCCACAAATTTGGGTCCTAGGCACGTACCTACTTTGCCTATGCATTAATCTGGTTCTGCATGATTGAGTAATTAAAGACTATCTAATAATGCATATGTACAAAGGGTCTGTATTTAAGGTTGCATGAGTAATGTTTATTTTGGCATTTCCTAACTTCTGAATGCTTGACTTTGCAATCTTAATGTTCTTTTAATGTAGTTTTTTCGGGGGGAAAACTAAAAAGAAATTCTGTGCAGTGGAAGCATAATGACCCCCACCTTGGGTCATCAGCAGAATCTGGACCTATAGATTCATAGCAATGACCACATCTTAAGATAGCAGAATAACTGGTAGCAGTAGAAGGCTGTTATTCTCTATGTAAACCAACCACTACAATGGGCTGAGACATACACTTTGCCAGTGGGTTTCACAGCTCTTTCACAGCAGAGGAATACAGAGACACAGAACTCCTTGATTCTGTAGGGGAGCATGGTGTGGTGGCTATTAGTCATTCTGTCCCTCTGCCCCCAACCTGTCCTCCCCCCCCCCCATTTCCCATCCAGCCCTGGCCTCCTGCCCCCTCCTCCTCTGTTCCTATCCAACCCCCCACCCCAATGGCACTGTTTTTGCCTCCCACCCTCTCTGGTCCTAGCCAACCCCTCACTTCCCAGCCCCAGTCCACTTCCATCCTTGATCCTATCCAACCCCACAACCTCCTCATGCCCCCCCATCCCGTTTGCTCATATCCAAACACTCCACCCTGCAGCACCTACCTCCCCAGCCACCTTCTGGCTCCTGCAACACCCCACACTTTTATCACTACACCCCCATCCCTCTGAATCCAAATCAGGTCACCTCCCCCTCCTCGCTGCCTGGGGAGCCAGGAGTGCTGGCCGCACAAGAGATACTGCCCCTGACAGCATGGAGAAGCAATTGCAGGGAAAGAACTATCCAGTCCTTGCAGCTCTGGGCTGAAGCATGCTCAGATGAAATATTTGGAGAATTTAGCTACCAAACTCCAATAAGTCTCTTCTGAGCATTTTTAAAATGAGATTTTTTGGTGAGGCTCATTACTTGGCCAAATTTATGCAAAATTTCATGTGGACAGCAAAAGGCACGTGCCTGGCACCAATGTGACCTCCTTGCCAAAGTCTGCTCTGAAGCATGGAGACACTGGAGCGTCCAATGATACCGTTGTAAAAAAGCTTTAAACATGGGCAAAACAACATATTTCCCCCTAATCTCATTTTTGGAAACAACTAACCCAATTAGACAAACTTTCAAATAAAAATTCAGCCTGAGACAGACACTCAGCACAGAAAATTTCAGACAAAACGGTTAGAGTTAGGCAAAGTTATAAGTAACTGAAAACAAGGTCTTAAATGGAAATATTGGATGACCTTAATCTTATAGACGATGCTACCAGCTCCATTTAAAATAGAAAAAAACATTCACTAAGAAAATTATTTTTCTAGTGTTAAGCTAAGGGTTCATTATAAATAATGAGAAAAACATATAGAAAATGAAATTACTTGACAACATTTTTTAAATTATTCATTTTTAGCCACGTATATACATAACACAATGTATTGGAAAAATATTCAGGACTTGCTATTATTTTTCCTACTTTGTAAACACATATGATTTTTAACTTACCCCTCCTAGTTCCTTAAGATCCTTCTCTAATTTTTCAGAGATCACATTAGACGGAATATCAAGATAAAACACCTTCCCAGTAAGTGGCTTATATTTAGATTTCTCTGTCTTTGTGGTATCTTTTTTCAAAGTTTTCAGAGAAGGTTTATTTTTTTCTGTTTTTCCTTGCGTTCCACCTGCTGTCAAAAGAGTAGATCATTTGAATAGGATTATATTGTATGTACTTGTGCGTTTACAAAAATACATTTCCCTCTTTAAGGCTAAATTCAAGTAGGGAGAGTAGGGGAAGGATAAGCCAAGATTCCGCATGAGCAGGATATATTTTTGATGAACTGTGACCCTAAAGCATACAAGAAAAGTATCTTAAAAATAATAGAGCACCGAGCTTTAACGTAATACAATATTAAAGTTTTGTTCATTATTCAGAAGACATTTTGATGCTTATCCAAAATAATTTAAAAACAATGACACTAATATTAAAGGGGAGCAATCACCAAAGGCCCCAATCCTGCAAACACTTATGCATATCCTTAACTTTAAGCATGCAGCTGGATTACTCACATCTTAAAGTTAAGCATGTGCATAAGTATTTGCAAGTGTGGGTCCTAATTCATTCAAATTGTTCTCTTAGGGCATTGTCCAAAACCCACTAAAGGCAGTAGAAAGATTTCCAGTGAATTCAGTGGATATTGTTACACCAAGTCCTTACAGTTCTGTTAAAATCCTCTTTTACAGTTGATTTTCCTTTTTTACCATTAGCAGTAGAATGTCCTCTTTTCTCTCCACCCAATTTGCCAAATATTACATTGTGTTTGTAATGATACATCACTAGAAAATTTACTGGTATCATCAAGGACGGACAATGTTCTGGGAACTGAAAGTACCTCTCTTTACTATTCCCTTAAAGTAGCAATACTATCTGCAAAACATATATTTAAAGGCAAACAAAATATCAAAAAAAAAAAAGATTAGTTTCTGCTCTGTCACTTGACTTCAGATTTGTTAAACAGGTAGAAGAACTCAATCCTACTCCCATTTAAATCATTGAGAACTGGATGGGTCCTAAATGAGGGCAGAATTTGGATCTAAACAACTAATAACCATTCAATAATTCCACTTTTCTAAACAGCAAAAGAACTTTAAGGTAATATCTCACTGAAGAAAAAATTTAGAGAAGTCATATTGCAATCATTCATGGAAGAACTATTTCCATGAAACTTCAGATTAAAATTTTGCAAACATACTATATTAAAAAAGCTAAGTACTTTTTTTAAATTAATAATGTCTTTTCTTCTGCTCTGTCAGTCATTTGTATTTAGATTGTAAAACCTTTGTGAAATGGATTTTCCCTTGTCATATGTACGTACACTGCCTAACACAATGGGATTCCATACTGGGTGGAGGCCTCTAGATGCTGCCATAATATGATTAAATAAAGTTACAATAGTATTATGGTAGCACCTACAGGAAACACTCATGTGCGGTATCCCAAACAATGGTGGGCGCAAATATTTACATAAGTTTAACTTTATGCACATGATTAGTCACATAAAACTAATACTGTGATAGAACCTTAACAGTAAATATTTTAGGCAACAAAAATAGCTCTTCCCCTTGAAGAGCATGCAACTTAACATATGCCTAAACAAACCACAATACGGTTCCAGCCTTTCAACTGGATATGTGCGCGTGGACCTCTCTGGAGCCCAGTAGATCCACCCAGACAAACATAATTGCAAGATTAAGCCCTTAAACATGTAAATTAATAGCTTTACTCAAGAGATTAGAGACACTGAATCCAATCCTGTGATTAGAATTTTCTTCATATGAACAGTGTCATGGATGTCACTAGATTAACTTGAGTTATGAGTACGGATTGCAAAAAAGATCAATCCATAAAACTTCACCTTTCCAGCATATTATATAATTTAAAATAAAAAACAGAGTCTCTCAAAAAGTGGGGGATTAGCTTTATCTTGTAACCACACAAAGGCCATGATCCTGTAAAATGATCTACACAAGTTGTCTCCCATTAGCAAAGGCAGACCTATGCACCCATGAGCCCCACTGACTGCAAAAGACCTCATCCTGGGTGAATCAACTTGCAAGACTGGGACCTTAAAGGGAAAATGAAAGGTAACTCCAATAATTTATATATCAATTATATTATCTAGGTTACTTTAATACCAGAAATTAACAAGACAAATACCAAAAGCCTCATTCCTGCAAGCTGCTCTGAGGATGGACCTGCTGCCAGGTCTAATGATGTCAATGGGGGAAGTGGCTCTCTGCCTGCGTGGAGCAGTTTATAGGGCCTAGGCCTAATTTACTCTTCCATGTATCTACTAATTACTTATTTTCAGCACTTCAGACTGCTTGTACAATCAACAGGCTAACCAGTTTCACTTATTTCTAGTCAGTTTCACTTTTTGTTCTCATGTATCAGCATAAAGCAGTATTGAGCTTTCAACATTACAGAGAAAGGTTTTAAAAACCTAACCATTTCAGCTTTCTTTTGAATTTTCAATTACTGGAAGATGGTGGTGTTTACAGATACAGCAGAGAGATTCCTTTATCCATTTTGCGTTTGAGTTTTTGTTAGTAACACTGCTTCAATGGGACTATCTTAACAAATAAAATTAAACATGTTTATGCATTTATAGGAAATGGTACATCAGGCTTCAGTCCTAGAACTAGTGCCATGCGCCTAGATCGGGGGTCGGCAACCTTTCAGAAGTGGTGTGCCGAGTCTTCATTTATTCACTCTGATTTAAGGTTTCGCGTGCCAGTAATACATTTTAACATTTTTAGAAGGTCTCTTTCTATAAGTCTATAATATATAACTAAACTATTGTTGTATGTAAAGTAAATAAGGTTTTTAAAATGTTTAAGAAGCTTCATTTAAAATTAAATTAAAATGCATAGCCCCCCGGACCAGTGGCCAGGACCCGGGCAGCGTGAGTGCCACTGAAAATCAGCACGCATGCCGTAGGTTGCCTACCCCTGGCCTACATCCTTGAGCCCACCAGGAGTCAAAATGCTGGATTGAGGCACCATCATAGGTAGTAATTAAATGTAGCCCCCTTGTTATTTGAAGGACTTGAGAAAAGCAGGTCCCAGTTAGCAATTTACCTAAATTAACTTGTTAAAAAAAATCCATTACAGCAACTGAATGAGATTTACATCACTTTGAACTGCTTTCCATAACAGTTTAAGATCACATGGGGAAAGACCATCACCTACGTGTAACTTGTCCTTTGTTGCTAATCTTCATAGCACTTGGTTTCATTTTCCTGGTGAGTCACATTTTTCCGTCCACCTTCCTTCGAGGGTTATTACCTGCAGGAGAAATAGTTCAAGAGACAGATTAAACGCACAGGAGAAGGGCAGAGGCAGCCCATGCACTCTCCACCCCCAGTTACTGCTCTCTGGCTCCCACCCCCAACACACTGCTGCTTCCAAGTCCCAGTCACCCCCACCCCAGCCACCGCGCCTCTGCTCCTCCTGGCCCTCTCCCAACGGTCACCCCCGCCCTAGTCATCGCTCCCCTGCCCCTCTCCCAACGGTCACCCCCGCCTCAGCCATCGCTCCCCCAGGCCCGCTCCCAACGGTCACCCCCGCCCCAGTCATCGCTCCCCCAGGCCCTCTCCCAACGGTCACCCCTCCTCAGCCACCGCTCCCCTGCCCCTCTCCCAGCGGTGACCCCCCTCCGCTCCCCTGCCCCTCTCCCAACGGTAACCCCCGCCTCAGCCACCGCTCCCGCTGCCCCTCTCCCCCGGCTGCTCCTGGTCGCTCACCCCGAGCTCTAAGGCCGAGCCCCGGCCCCCGTGACCGGGGCGCTCTCACCCCGCCGGTGGCTCTCTCGGTGCTTTCCCGCCTCACGAGTCCGACCTCAACAGGGGCCTACTAGCCTGGCCTCCTTCCTTCCCTGCGCGGCCCGCCGGCGGGCGGGGCTGACTAGCGCCGCCCCCTGAGGAGGCGGCACGACCGGCGCTGCCCGGCAGAGGGGGATGCCGGCGCAAGGCTAGTGTCGGTGCCGGAGCTGCCCTTCCCCCCAGCGGTGGGAGCAGAGTCACTCGGAGCGGGCTCCTGCCTCCCAACAGCCCGGTACGGGGCAGCGCGCGGGCGGCTGATGGCCTCCGTGGACGAGCTCTCCGGGTGGGAACGCTGCTGTAGGGGGTTGTGACGTTATTGACATAAACTGGGACCATATAGA